ATTATGGAGATTGATTTTGGAATTTAGATGCACTGTTGACAGCAGACTTTTTCAATGCAATTCATATTTTGATTTCCTGGCTGCTGGTACCATGATTTTTGCTTGTGGAGCCAAGCAAACTAAAGCTGTTTACAATCTCAATCTCTTCATCATCTATCATGATGTTGCCAATCGGCCCAGTGGTGAGAATCTTTGTTTTCTTGATGTTGAGCTTCAATCCATATTGAAGGCTGCAGTCCTTGACCTTCTGCAGCAAGTGTTTCAGGTCCTTCTCAGTTTCAGCAACCAGTGTTGTGTCATCTGCATAATGAATTGCTGATGAGTCTTCCTCCAATCCTGATGCCACATTTCTCCTCCAAGTCCAGCCTCCTAGATAATCTGTTCTGCATAGAGATTGAAAAGGTACAGAGACAGGACACATCCCTGGTACACACAATCTTCCCAATTTTGAAACATTTAGTGTTTCCTTGCTCTGTTCTGATGACTGCCTTTTGGTCCAAGCATAGGTTTCATATAAGCACAATCAAGTGTTCTGTGACTCCCATTCTTCTCAGAGTCAGCCACAGTTTGTTGTGATCCACATAGTCAAATGCCTTGCATAGTCAATGAAACACAGACAGACATTCCTCTCATACTCCTTGCTTTTAGCCAAGATCCATCTAACATTAGCTATAATACCCCTAGTACCATGGTCTATTCTAAACCCAGCCTACACTTCTGGTAGTTCTGTAGATGTGCTGTTCTAGTCATTTTTGGATAACCTTCAGCAGAATTTTGCTTGCATGTGATAACAATGATATTGTTTGATAATTTCTGCACCCTGTCAGGGCACCTTTCTTTGGAATGAGAACAAATATAGATCTCTTCCAGTCAGTTGGCAAGGTGATTATCCTCCAGATTTCTTGGCACAACTTGGTGAGCACTTTCAGAGCAGCATCTGTTTGTTGAAGTTTGTCAGTTGGTATGCCATCAATTCCTGGGGCCTTGTTTGTGGAACAGACAACATATTGAAACAAATGAGTCCACAAAGGGCTACAATAGCAGTTTCCTAGTATTTTTTTTACTAGTAGGAATATGATCACTTAACATGCAATTAAATAATGATCACTTATTTCATAATATGGAATAACTGGTTAATTATTTAGAAAAAAGAAAAAGCTATTTTCTTACCTCCTCAAGACTTTCACTGCTTTTTTATATCAATATAAATACTATATCAAAGATATTTTTTAAAAACATGAAGTAAAGAAATCTTAATTATATAACCGTAAAATTTTCTGGATGGCAAATAAAACTATACACACAAGAAAGACAAATTACTTAATTACGGGTGGGTGGGAGGAAAAATGACAATAAATAGCTTAGTGGTAAGGAATTGTGCTGCCAACACAAAGGTATGTGGTTCAAATGCACCAGCTGCTCCATGGAAAAAGACTGGCAATATCCTACCATGTGATTAACTTCTTCTGAAAACCTGCTGGAGGATCAGCTATAGAATGGTTCTGACTCGAATGTTTCTAATCAAAAACCCTCAAATATCAAACATTCCTGCAAATGGGTAAAAAGCACAAAGGTAATTAAGAGAATACTTTTACTAAGAAGTGTGTATGCATGACTATTTTTATAATTTTGGTAAGTACTGAAAAAAATGACCACATCAGGCTATTGAGACTGCTCTATATTTTGATGTGAAAAAACGGGTCTTTTTTCATGAATTTTTGCCCAATTGAATGACCTGTTATTCCCAGCATCATTTGAAATATTCATTTCATATCTAGTATATGTGTAAATTTGGGAAGCAGTAGTGGCATCCACTTCCTAAATAACACGCCTCTGTAAACTCTATGAACTTTGATAAACATCAATAGTTGTAGAGGGGCTTCAGGCCTTTTGTTCATAGGGTTGCTATGAGTCGTGCTCGACTTGAAGGCAATCAACAACAACAACAAAAGTGTAAATCAGCATGACATTTCTGGAGACTTCTTGGTATATTTAGGTATTAATATATAGATTATATATTTTGATTCTATAATTGCATTTGTAGAAGTTGAACTTACAAGAATAAATTGAAGCAAAGTATGCATCAGGATGCTTCTTAGTAACAGTGAAAAACTGTAGGCAAGGTAATCAGGAAGAGATTTGTCATATCATCGAACATTATCATTGATATCACATGCAAGCAAGATTCTGCTGAAAATTATCCAAAAATATTTGGAACAATATGTCAACAGAGAACTGTCAGATGTGCAGGCTGGATTTAGAAGAGGTCATGGTACTAGGGATATTATAGCTAATGTAAGATGGGTCTTGGCAGAAAGCAAAGAATACGAGAAGAATGTCTATCTGTGCTTCATTGACTATGCAAAGGCTTTTGACTGTGTGGGTCACAACAAGCTGTGGCTGACTCTGAGAAGAATGGGAATCCCAGAACATTTAATCGTGCTAATGAGAAATGTATACTTGGACCAAGAGACAGAGCAGGGAGACACTACATGGTTCAAAATCAAGAAAGGGGTCCATCAGGGATGTATTTTGTCTCAATACCTTTTCAATCTGTATGCAGAATAGATCATTCGAGACGCTGGGCTGTATGAGGAGGAATGTGGCATCAGGATTGGTGGAAGAATTGTCAACAACCTGTGTTATGCAGATGACACAACCCTGCTCGCTGAAACTGAGGAGGACCTGAAGCACTTGCTGCAGAAGGTCAAGGATTGCAGTCTTCAATTTGGATTGAAGCTCAATATCAAGAAAACAAAGATTCTCACCACTGGGCCAATTGGCAGCATCAGTATGGATGGTGAAGAGATTAAGATAGTTAACAGTTTTGGTTTGCTTGGCTCCACAGTCAACACTCTTGGTAACAGCAGCCAGGAAATCAGGAGACGAATTGCATTGGGAAAGTCAGGGATGAGGGATCTCTCAAGAGTACTGAAAAGCAATGACGTCAGGCTGGAGACTAAGGTGCGCCTGTTCCAGGCTATAGTCTTCACAATTCGTGCTATGCATCAGGGAGTTAGACAGTGAATAGGGATGATAGAGAATTGATGCATTTGAGCTGTGGTGCTGGAGAATTGTCTTGAATATACCATGGACTGCTAGGAGAACAAACAGGTTTGTCCTGGAGAGGGTGAAGTCAGAATGTTCCCTGGAGTCAAGGATTCTGAAGCTTTGTCTGACATACTCTGGGCATGTTGCAAGGAGGGACTGGTCCTTGGAGAGGGACATCATGTTTGGGAGAGTGGAGGGACAGCGCAGGAGGGGAAGACCCTCAATGAGATGGATCAATTCTGTGAGTGGAGTGGTGAGAATGAACGTGTTTGAGACAGTGAGGTTGGCACAGGATAGAACGGCGTTTAGGGCTCTTGTACATAGGGTTGCTATGAGTCGCAAATGACTTGATGGCACATAACAACAACAACATTTGGTACATAGATAAAAGCTTGACCAACAGCTGTTTTTACTAGCCAGTACAGGGCACTAGGCCATGTCAACTATCCAAATCATTAGACAAGATCAATAATAGATTGGCTGTAGAGGTGACTAAGGACAGTAGATCTATCTTGGAAGAAATACCGCAACTCAAATCTAAATGGATATATTCTGGACAAAGAATGCCTCTTATCTGGAATTGGGTTATCCTCTAATCCTCAAATTATCTACCTGCCAGCAAAGCCAATTAATTTGTCCACAAAAGGCTAATTCACTATGATTCAACCATATGCATAAAAATGATTCATATCTTTCACCATAGAGCTAAATCAAATTCTAATTATAATGCAGGTTCTATTTGTTAATGAGTAGCTTCTTTTAGACAAACGATGAGAATATCTATGAACACCACAAGTTTCTGAAATAAATTACTAACTTGGAAGAGAGGACAGAAGCAGTTGTTATGTACCATCGAGTTAGAATCAACTAACTCCTAACTAACCCTCCAATGGTCAGAGACAGTAAATAACATACTAGGAGACTGTCTCCCTCAGTAGCTGGTGAATTCAAACCGTGTGCCTCTGGCTTAGCGGCACAGCTCCTTACCACAAGACCACCAGAGATCCCTGAAGTAGGAGTGGGTAACCACAAAAATAGGATGCTTCCTGTGAAAAGAGGAGTTAAATGACAGAAGCATGAAAAGCAAAGAAAGCGTGCACGAGCAAAATCTCAGTCTAAATATGGCTATGATGCACAGTAAAAGTACAGAGAGTAGACCCTGAATAGAACTTCTTCATGGAAACAATAAAAGCGTGCTTAACGTGACCTCTGATGTTACTTGTAAAACATGCTGGCTGCTTTTTTACCTGACTCTAAGCCAAGCCTTTTCAAATCCTCTTGGTATGCTTTCAGGGCAGCTGCTTCCATTGCAGCAAACTCCTTTGATGCCTTTTCTTCTTCCTTTGCCTTGTCCAGGCTTTTCTGCTTAATCTTCATAAGAAATATAGAAAAGTGAAAATGAGATAAGAGAATCTGTATCACAGAAAAGACTGGCAAAGAATAACAATTTAAATTACCTCACTGATCCTTTTTGCCACATTTTCCTTATGAGTTTTTCCTTTTTCATGGAAGTCAATACTCTTGGGGGAAAAACAAAGATAAAGGAAAAGAAATATTTTTACAATAAAGCAAAAGGAATTGAAACAAAAACATGGGCAGAAAAGTAAAATATAGGCTAATTTCACCAGCAAATTGGCTTTTATCAGATGATAGGAAATAGAACTAAATTTTTTTTTTATTATGCTTTTTTGACTAGGTTTTCTAAAAGAAATCATGACCACATTAATGGAAAAACCCCAAAGTACTTTTGATGACTAATCTAGTGAATATGATTGTATTGAGGATTCAAACAAGACATAGAGCCAAAAAGGGCGGGGATAAGGTGGGCAGAGATGGTGGATTTGAGAAATACTTTCAGTATCAAATTATTCAGAAAATCTTATTGTTTCTTTGTCACATTAGGAAAAGGCATAAAGAACAGCTATCCTTAGACAGTTATTTCTCAAAACTGAGGGGGAAAAAATATATTCATCATCCAATGCTTCCATGTATTGTGGTAATTGTGCCAAATAGTGCAGCTCGTATGTACAACATTTTGGCTCTACCAAAGACAAAATCATTTAATCCTTGACCTAGCCAATTCCTTTTCTCTGAATTTACTCTGTAAGTTTAAATAATACTTATGCGTGTTGAAAATGCTCTATGAGTCTATTTACTGTACCCTCCCTTGTAACAGCAAAGACTGAGCACAACTCAACCATGTATTCCTAAGGGTCTAGTTTAAGAATCTACTGTCTGTTCCTACTGGCTGCTATAAAAAAGAACAAAGTAGCCATCTCTGCATTACAGAGCGAGGTCTGGGATATATCATTCAGTGAGAAAAGTTGAAATGTAGGACAGCACATGTAAGATGAGTGTGTTCATGGTTTTGGAGTAAGAATCTATACCAACATACATATAAAAACAATGGAAAACTAAACAAGAACATTTTAAAATGTGGTAATCTACAGAGGGTAAAGGAGCTCTGGAGGTGCAATGGGTTAAGAGTTGAGCTGCTATCACAATCCGTGTAACCATCATCGGCCCTGCACAGCTCTTCCACCACCACCATCTGCACAGCAGACAGTCCAGCTCCAGTCTCCCTATCCCCAGTGTGTTTTCTTATTAAAACTCAACATACAGCCCTATCTACTGTCTAAGAGGTAGGCTGGGGAGGGCCAAGGGTCTTGTCTGGCATCTACAGACAGCAAGCATGTTATCTAGGGTCTGTGCTCAGTCTGCATATTCCTCCCACTCGGCAGCTGAGGCACACAATGTTTTATGCTTACACGGGTCAATGCGCAAGTGAAGTGAGAAATGCTAGATGGTAAGCTTCACAAGGGCAGGGATCTGTTTGCTCTCTGATGCACCCCAAGTATTTGGAATAATATCTACTATGTAATAGGCACTCAATAAATGTTGAGATTTAAAAAAAAGAGAGAGCGTTCAGCTGCTAACTGATTGATAGCTCAAACCCACCAGTCACTTTTTAGGAGGAGGATGAGTATGTCTGCTTCCAAAAACATTTTATAGCCTTGGGAACTCTGTAAGGAGTTTATTTTATAATACCCTATAAGGCTGCTGAGTCAGAATTGAATCTTTGGGATCATTTGGTTTAGTATACAGAGAGTTATGGCAACTGGAGGGAGATATATACAGGTAAAGAAGTGAGAGTAATACCGATTTAAACAACCAGAAATGGTTCCTAGGTTATAGTATCTGGCTGTGGGCAATAAGAAATTCCTTGAAAACTGAAAAATAAGCTGTCAATCAAATCTCAGCTGAATTAGCTGGCTTATTCTGAAGGGCACTCTGTTGGTTTAATGGTAAGGAACAGTGCTGTCAACCCAAAGGTAAGTGTTTTAAATCCACCAGCTATTCCAGGAGAAAAAAGTGAGTAATCTCCTCCTGTGCAATTTGGTGCCCCTGAAAATCCACTAGAGGATCACCTATTGGTTAGTTCCATTGCTTCAGTACACAACAGTAATACTGTGAAGTAGTTCTCTTAACACTTGTAAAGAAAACCGAGACTTTGTAAACTCATCTTTCTAGAATTGATTACAACAACCAAAAATAGACCACTACCAAAGAATTTTGTTTCTTACCAAATGGTTTTTTGTTTTTTTTTTATGTCAAATTGGATCTGACTGGTACAGGAAGCGATTGTTCCTCCTTCTTCAGCAGTTCTTACCAAATGTTAAAGACAGGATTAGCAATCTCAAGAAAGGAGACTACCCTAGAGGGGAATTTATTTACTTTACATATCTCATAAAATACAATCCACTGCCTGAGTACGTCTAAGAGAGTGCCATATTCAGTACTTGCATGTGTTTTAAAGTTCAAGTACACAGTGCCAGGTATGATGACATGCATCCCTGGTGCCTTTAGATTTGTATATTAGAAGTAAAATATAGACTAAGAAATACAGTAATAATATTTTTAATAGTTACTTTTATTCTTTTTAATGTTCTCATCTGTAGCTACAAGGCTCTGAACCAAGTACGAATAGCAGGAAAACGAACAAGAAAAGCTTTGCTAGTAATTTTTCTTTACATTTTAAGGCATTTTCACTTTCTTTTGCATACTGCAGTATTACAAACGACTACAATGGAGACACTTCATAAACACTAACAAGATTATTTACCTAGTGACTCCTGGATGTGGCTAATGCACCACAGAGAAATAACTCTGTTTACTATACAATCAAATTTAGATTAATTAAAAGGGTAATATAGTTTTTAAACAGTAAGACAGCAAAAATATTTTGATGTTTTGAAAAAGTGAGAGCATACTGCTTTGTAAACTGTGATGTTAGACTGAAGAAGTATTTCCCATGAAAAAGATTACTAAAAACTCTAGTAGTAGAAATATCATACAGGTCTATTATCTGCTATCCAGCACTTGCAGTAATTACAGAATTTCTTTGGCTGTGACTTCCAGTAATCTGCCCTGAAAAAGAAAAAAAACAAAAAACAATCTTATTTATATGTATTTTTTTAAATGGTAAAGTTTTAAAAGTTTTACATCTGCTTAGAATTTGAAACACAAATCTTTGTAAGAGAATTTTAGCATATACAATCTCGTCTCATTTATATAAAGCAACAAATTAAAATTGTTGCCAACAGAATTTTAAAATTCTCTCGTTTTATCATAAAATTTCCTGAACAAGATAGCGATTAAAACATTTTCCACATTGACACCGTCATCAGTGCAAAAAAAAATCCCACGAGACAGACACCTCAGGAGACGATGTATCCTTTCCATTCTTTGACATCTTTCAAGTGAAAGGTTGCCTTAAATCAAGTTATAGCCAACAAAACAACAAAGTCTACGATTATTCTTGGTGGGAGACACTGGTTCCTCTAAGTCTTTATATCCTAAAAGATCTGGAAAAGGCAAGAGTCCTCTTGGGACAGCTGAGAAAAAGTCACTACGCTAGAAGGGCACGTCGGCGGAACTCAAGATTGGAGGGCGACACGGGCGGCAGAGTTCAAGTTTAAAGTTTCCCACTACCCCAGAGCCGAAGTGCTACGAAACCCGACAAGGGCACCTGCGAGCCCGCAGTGCACCGGGGGGGGGGGGGGGGAGAGGGGGGGAGTGACGCCCTGGGCCACACCGCGCCGCCCCGCCACCTCCCCCGGCCCGCAGCAGCTAGGCTTCCATTCGAGCCCCCATCCTCGGGGCGCCCCGCCAGGTGGCATTTCTACAGTGTCCAGGAATCGGCCTCCGGAGTCCGGTTCTGGTCCCGAGCGAGTTAAGAGCGCGTCCGTCACGCCCCGACCGCATAGAGGGGGGGGAGCATCGGCGGAGAAAGGGCTGCCCACACAAACAACAGCCCGGTTGTTCCGAGCCTGAGACCCAACTCACATGACTCTGCCCTCCGCTCCGCGAGTCGCCGCGGGGTCTGTCTCCAACTCGTGCCTTCCACGTTGGGTGCGCGGAGGCAAAGCCCGCAGCCAGGCCTACCCAAGCCGAGTCCCGGATCCCTCCCTGCTACCCCGCGACCAGCGTTCCACGGTTCCCAACTACGGGTGCCCAGACGACTCAATCCGCGTTCGAAATCGCCGCCTTGCCCCCTCCCCCTACAGGGGCGGTACTCCAGACCCAAGAGAGGTGGGGTCGGTATAAAGGAGTTGAGGTCAGTGAGAAGGGGCGAAAGCGCGACGGGAACTGTGCTGACTGGCCGGAGTCAGAGGCCTTAACTTTGCGCACCACCCCGACTTCTCTACTTTCTTGTATCAGGACACCCCCACTCTCCGTCTAGGCTCGCTGGCTCGTGGCCAGGGAGCTAACGCGCCGCCTCCACTCGGAACGCAAACAGCTGTTCCCAGAGACGTCGCCGCGCTCAACTTTGCCAACAAATCCGCACGTACTTTGACCAGTGGAGCAAGCCGGACCTGTGGGCTGGGGGCTGGTGGCAGAATTAAAAAAGAAAGGTGAAACTGCTGGTTTTGGGACCGCAAGTTACTTGCTTAGCCTTAGAACTTGACTTTGGTGGCGGGGCACTCTGCGCCCCCCTGCGACATCCGTGCGCTCGGCCAGGGCTAGCGCCCTCGTCCAGGGAGCGCGTGGACTGCTGCGGCTCGAGTGGCGTGCAGGCGCGGCGGGAGGAACCCAAGCAGTCAGAGCCCAAGCGGCGCGAGTAGCGGCTCTTTCACTTGTCAGGTGGGTCCCGGCTGTGCTCTCAGCAGCGCTTCCCATATGGTCTAGCGGTTAGGATTCCTGGTTTTCACCCAGGCGGCCCGGGTTCGACTCCCGGTATGGGAAAGTGTGTGTTTATTTTTGCGAAAAAGACTGGTTTTGGTGAAAGTTGGTTACACCTTTGATTCTGTTCTTTTGCCTGTGTGTTAGGGTTCAAGTAGTGAAACCTAGTGGCGTCGTGAGCTGCTGTCTTAGGAGTCGCAAGGTCTGCACACACCGGGTTGGTGGCGCCAATGCACTCAGGGTCCCTTCCCCTCTGGCCTTGAGCTCGGGGGTTGATCCTTTGGGAAAGAGTTTCACTTTCCCCAGTACTGTTCCTCCTCCGCCCTCCTTCAGCTCCAACACGTAGTTTTCCAGACGTTTTGGAGGTGATGATTAACTCCAGCCTCGAGTTCTCTCCTCCCAGCGCCCCCTCCGGACCCACCCTCCTCGGCAGTCTCCTCCCGACTTGTCCCTAATGACGCGGATGTGTTTGCCTCCTGGCGTTCCCAGGCCCACGCCTCGCTGTTGTCCCGTCCTCTTTGCGCCGGGTGTTTACGAGAACAATCCTCGTGCTCCGAACGCATCGCGTTCCTCAGCCGCTTCCCAAGGGACGCGCGCGCGGAGCGGCGGCAGTGCGCACGGGCGGCGTGGTGGGCCGGCCAGAGTCCGGGCGCGTTTGCCGCTCGGCGCGTCCACCCGTCCTGACCGCGTGTGCGTGCGTGCCGGCCGGCGGCCTCCGAGCCTTGGCCAGCCCCGAGGCCGGCCTGTGAGGTCATGCCAACTTGACATTCACACAAAAAAGTACCCAAGGCTTCCAGGACAGCTCTGAATGCGTATGGCTTAACAGGCTTCTTGGAGCAGGGCTTCTTTCCCCTTCTTTCTTCCAGTCTTAAAAAAGGATGATTTGTGATAGGTTTTTAAGGAAGAAAATGGACTTTTTTTTTGGAAAGTATGTTTTGAGCGCTGCAGATAGAAAATCCTGGGGTGGGGGTGGGGCTTGAAATAGAAAATTGGCAGAAGACTGAGGAGGGGCTGTTACAACAAAGTTTCACTGTATTTTTAAATATAGAAGCCCTGTGTTTTATCACAAAGAAGGGGCAGCTGTGTCAGCATACGAGCTGTAAATGAAAACAAAAGCACTATCTTAAGTACAAGCTGAATTTAGCAAATAGGGTTAACTGTATGATGTTTAGTCTATTGGGCCTCCGAGCAAATGAAGGAAAAAGTGACTCTTGTGGATCTGTTTCTGGTCAGTGCCAATACTTCGGAGCTGATTTTTTGTTTCTGTACAGTGCCAAACTGGTCTTCATATTTTTAACTACAAGTTTTGGGATAATCTTCTAGAGTTATTCATGTTTAAATATTTATTAGCGTTCAGTTATTTTTATCTATATCTATCTGTCTAAACATATATGTATATTATACACACACACATTGTTGATTGCCGTTGAGTGGAGCACGACTCTTACTAACCCTATGAACAAAAGACCTGAAGCCTTTATAACTATCGTTTTTTCTGAGTTCATACAGTTTCCAGAGGCATGTTGTTTTGAAGTGGATTCCACTCCTGCATCCAAGTTACATAAAATAGATGTTCCAAGTTATCTTCAGTTCAAATATTTGACCGTGTGCTCCATCCTGGCCACCATCAACAAGCTTTCTGAAACTTAGATATTAAATTTCTTCATTTTAGGACATAGTGGATAAAATGCTGGGTAGGATATTTTGGTGACTGATTGTGTGACCTTGTGGAGTGCTCTCTCCTCTGCTGAGTTTAAAGCTATAAATTCTTGATATCACTCACAAACTTTAAGACACAAGAAATATTGAGCAACCTTTGAATACGTTTTATTTAAATGAAGAATGGTGTTACATATCACTGTTAAGGCAACAGTTACTATAGAATTAAGTCTGACTCTAGAAGAAAGTCTGGCTTAGTTGTTTCTGGAGTGGGCTGAAATCTTGACCCTGCATTTTGTGATGACTTATACCAAAAAGGTCGTTATTTTCATGTAAGTTATTGGTGATTGTAAATCTATCTTTGCCTTGGAATCAGAACCAATTCATAGTTGAGGCTTCAGTTGGTTTTCAGAGGCAGAAAGTCACTCAGGTGGAGATTGCCCATCTGTCTCCCAAGGAGCAGCTGGTGGTTTTGAAGTGCTGGTGTTGTGTTGGTAGTCCAATTCCCTCCCCACTAGGCCACTGGAGCCTCATTGGTTATAAATCTCTCAATTGTTACTGCTGTAACTAACTCATAACTGACCCATTCGAGGGCTGTAAAATTATACTATTTTTCTCCCTCAGAGCAGACTGATTGTAAATAGTCTTACTAAATGCTTTGGGGACAAAGCAAGGGGAATAATCAGGCAATTGCATCAAGGTGCAGACTTAGAAACAGTTGTGTACAGGTTGGAATATGATAAGACACTGTAAAGTATAGAAATGGGAGCAGAGAGAGGAGGAATCTTTTCTGCTCAGGAATGGACTGGCGAGGTCATGGAGGAAAGAGTGTTTGTGCTAGACCTTGCAGAACTGGTTGGATTTCTCCTAGGGAATGTGAGTCATAAAGGTGGGGTGGAGGGAACAGATAGGAGGCTGGAGACTAGTCTGGTTTGGCAGGATAACAGGGTGGCTGGAGGGAAAGCCTTGGAAGTGCAAGCTGGGAGATAGAAAGGAATTTGACTTGATTGTGTACAGTGATAGCCTTGTTTAAGGGAGTGTGACATTTTGTTACTTAAATGTAAGAAACGTTTTTTTGTCTCTTCGGAAAACCAAAAAGGAGCAGTAGTATGTGAAAAACATTTTCTGTTTTGAAAGAGTCAAGCAATGTAGAAACTTTACAGACACTTTCTTTCATGTCTCTACATTTTACATTTAGCAATTGAATATTCATGTTTAATTAGTAGAATGGAGAGAAAAGAATTTTTAGAATTCAGTTTAATAGAATGGAATCTGTTTTGAGTTTTAGAACTAAAATGGCATAGTTTCTAAGATGGAATTGTCATCTGTTAAAAGAATCTTAATTTCATTAAACCTGACAAATTTGTGAAGTTTCGTTAATATACTTGTGCTTTGTTTCTAAACACTTTCAAAAACATGAATCCAGTCATTTAGGCATTTTTGTTGGGCCACAAAATAAAGTCATGCTAACTGCCTGGTATGGACTAACCTATGTGGTCTTTAATATTTGCTATCATTAGTGCAATTAGAAGATGTCTGTAAATTCAAGAAATGTTTGCTAAAATAAGTGCCTGTGTAGTTAAATAAATATGAGAGTTAAAAACAGTTGCCATTTTAGGTCAAAATCGAGTCCTCTTCAGAGAAGGCCTCCGGTATTGCCTGGGTTTGGCTTGTTTCTCCTGCTTTCCCTGTCTTCTCAGCTTCTTCATCACCCTCCAGCCACACTGGCTTCTTTTTCGTCCCCTGAACATTTCTCATGTTCTTGTCCCAGGGCTCAGTTACGTGTGTTTCTTCTCAGAATTTTCTCCCTCCAGCTCTTCACGGCTCAGAAAGGTCGTCTTTGACCACTCCAGCTAGAGCCTCTTTTTCTGGTTACTTTCTGTCTCTTTTATTATCTTCCACTAAATTGTAAGTTTCTTAAGGGTGAGATATTCTATAGAGGGTCATCATGAGTAGAAACTTTTACCACATTTTTGTTTATAAGGTTAAAAAAAATGACAAAATCACAACTTTTTTTAAAATGTTATTTTATTAATTTTAATGAACGTTTACAGAAATTTTGGATTTCCATTCATTCATTGTAGCATTCTTCTCCCTGCCCACTCCTCCTCCCCCAGTTCGCTCTTGTCTTTGAAAAGTAAAAGAAAGATTCTTTCATTGGTATATAATCCACCCCAACTCCCCAACTACTACACTCCACTACGCAACCTTCATTCTGGACTCTTGTCATAACCATAATACCCAATCATATATCCCCTTTAAACTCTTCTCTCCCTCATCTATTTCAATGCAGTATACATAATTTATCCAATTTTTTTTTTGCAGTCTCACCCCAACC